GGTGCACCGCAAGATGGTTTGATTTACATATTTTGTGAAATGATTGTCACAACAGGTTTAGTTAAACCTATCACCTATAAATACAATAAGAAAGAGAAAATAATTTTAAAGTTATAGATGTTATAAGACATGAAGATTTAATACCTCCACCTCTCCTTCCTCGTCCTCTCTTCAAAATTTTATCATGCATGCATGCACGCGTGCATGCTCAGTCGTGTCTGATTCTTTGCAACCCCATGAACTGTAGCCTGCCAGGCTCTTCTGTCCATGGGGTTTTCCAAGCAAGAATTACTGGAGCGGACTGCCATTTCCTTCTCCAGGGGATCTTCTCGACCCAGGAATGGAACCCATGTCTCCTACATTGCAGGCAGATTCTTTACCACCATGCCACCTAAGAAGCATGCTTTTAATTATATCAATAATTAGTGTTTGCACCATTATAATGACAATGTAAATATTGTTCACTGCAGGACCTATTAGGATACTGTGATTATGTGTCTTTTCTTTTAATTGAAGTGTGATTGACTCACAACACTTAGTTTCAGGTGCACAACATAATGACTCAATACTCCGTACATAAATGTTTGGCTTCCATTGAAAAAAAAAAATACTCCATACATTACAAGACGATCACCTCTTGGTGTGTACGTTTCACTCACAGCTCATCTAAACTCGGATAAGCTCATCGCAGTGACTACCACACTGGATGAGATGGTTGGATGGCATCACCGACTCAATGGACATGAGTTTCAGCAAACTCTGGGAGCTGGTGAAGAATAGGTAAGCCTGTCGTGCTGTGGTTCATGGGGTCACAAGGAGTCAGACACAACTGAGTGACCGAACAACAACCACCACCCTGGAGAGCATGTCTAGACTTCTGCAGTCACCCCACTGCCTCCCATCACCTGCTGTCACCTCCCACAGTCTGTGCCCCACATGCAGTCAGAGGTCCTATTAACACCTAAGTCAGCTCCCATGCCTTCTCCACTCACATCTCTCCCAGGGATCCTATCTCAGAGTGAAAGCCAAAGTCCTCCTGTAGCCCACAAGGCCCTGCAGGATCTGCCTGTGTTCCCTCTCTGCCCCCTCCGCTCACTGTGCTCCAGCCACACCAGCCTCCCACTCACCAAAACACTGCTGCCTCAGGGCCTTTGCACTTGCTGGTCTGTCTGCCTGGAATGCTTTCCCCCCAGAATCCCCCAGAGTCAATTTTCCCTCATTGAGTCTCTACTCTGATGTCACCTCCTAAAACATCTTCTCTTGACCCTACATAAACCAGTGCCCCAGACACCTCCATCCCCTCTCCTGCTTTCTTCTTCTCCATCACTTTATCTCCACCTGATATATTACATCTATTTATTTGTCAGCTGACTATCGCCCCAACAAAAGGTCAGCTCTATGGGGCAGGGATTTTTCCAGTCTTATTCATAGCTATAACCCAGAACCTAGCACAATGCCCGGCACCTAGTAGATGCTCAATAAATGTTTGTTGAATGTTTGTGAATGGACGATGGCCCCTGAGTACCCAATGCCCACCCTGGAGTAGGCACAGCACTGAGCCCTCCAGGCACCTGCTCTCCCTTACCCCCAGAGAAACCCCAGAGAGGTCAGAGTCATGATCACCTACCACCCACTTGCCAGACAGGCAAAGGCCCCTGCCCATAATGGCCAGGTTTACTTTCTGCCTAGCTCCGGGCCTGGCACATAGTAGGTGCTCAAGAAACCACAGCACTCAATGGGACCAAAAATCCAGGCTCATGTCTGGGAGAACCAGGCGGGGGAGGCTGAGGAGATGGAGCTGGGAGTGAATCAGGAAGTGCAAGGACCACAGAGAGAGGAGGGTCTGTGTGTTACTGAGGGTGGTAGGGAGCCATGGTGGAGTCTGGACAAAAGCCAGGATCTGTCCTCAAGACTCTCGGAGCCAAAGCCTCCTCTCGCTACTCAGACGGCAAATCCCCAGAAACCCAGACCTCCCTGGAGACTCCTCTGTGTCATCCGTCCCTGGTGTCCAGTTTCACAAACACTCTCTCAGCCTCTGCTCCATCATCTGATCCTCTGCTTGGGAAACAGTGATGCCCACAGCACAGCAGCCCTGGTCCTGCCCTCCCACGACTCAGTCACCTTGAAGAAACAGACCTACCCCCTGACAGTGAAGACCCAAGGTGGTCAGGGCTGGGACTGACTGGGGATGAGGGGTGCACCTCATGAAGTCTGGGAGTCCAGGAGGGCTTCCTGGAGGAGGAGGGGGAGTTGTTGAATAGGCAATGAAATACAGCAGGGGGAAGCAGGGATGTGCTGGGTGGAGAGAGCACAAGTGAGGCAGAATAACTGGAGCAGAGTTCCCAGAAGGAATGGGTGTTCAAGCAGGCAGGGGCCAGGCCACGCGGGGCCACAGTGACAAGCTGGGCCTTCTCCTGAGGGCACTGAGGAGCCACAGCAGGTTCTGGGCACTGAGAGGGAGCCAGACCAGGGTCAGAGACCAGGGAGGAGTTGGGGAGGGGAAGCCAGATGAGGGGCCAGTGCAGGCTGGGGAGACCTGGACTAAGACAGGAGCCACAGGGACAGACAAAGACGCACAGGGCATTTAAGAAGCAGGCATGATAGAGTGGTATGCAGGGACGGGGTTGGGCGGGGAGGAGGGGGGGATTAGAATCAGGGACAAGGCCCCGTCTATGTCCCAGTGACGGTAGACGGTGGCGCCACCTCTGATAAGGTGGTGGGGAGGAGGAGCAGGTCTAGGGGAAGATCTCGAGGTCAGTTTGGGACGGGGTGAGTGAGAGGTGCCCAGAGACATCCGGGGAGGTGGAAGGGGAAGCATCCTGAATGATATCCTGAGCCCCTGGATGAGGTTCCTGGGGCTCAGGGGAGAGGGCTGGGCTAGGACAGAGAAGGGTGAGTTGAGGTCACAGGAGGGAGGGGGGAAGCAGACCATGCCAGGTCACCCACAACTCACCTGGCTGCACCCACCCCTCTCAGCTCACGCTGTCCCCCACGTCAGAGCCCCGCCCTTCCAGGGCACCTCAGGACACGGTGCTGGAGGAGCAAATCAGGACAGGTGAGCCACAGGTATGGCCCCCAGCCCAGAAGCAGGATGCTGGAGCCTCAGAGACACCAGGACCCAGACGCCATGGAGATACTGATAACACATTTATCAAGAACTAATGTTCTTGACTGGGGAGTGGGGGGTGCTTCCCACCCCCACCCTGTCCCCCCACGGCCTCTACCAAGCATCACCTTCCCAGAGACAGCCCCCTTGCCCCCCCACCACCACCTCTGGCCCCAATTCCAAAGTCGCCAGCCCCCTTCCTGGCTTGATTTTTTCCCCATAGCACTTATCTCCATCCGACATGGGATAGATTTTATGTTTGGTTTGTTTATCCCACAAATCTCAGCCCCACAAGGGCAGGGATCCTACCTACTAGCCCCTAGGACCGTGCTTGGCAGACCAACAATGCTGATTAAATATTTGTAGGATGAATGAATGAGCAATTTCTTTTTTAAAAACTATATTTTATTTGTTTATTTGGCTGGACCAGGTCTTAGTTACAGCATGTGGGATCTAGTTCCCTCACCAGGGATCAAACTTGGGCCCCCTGCATTGGGAGCATGGAGTCTTAGCCCCTGCACCACCAGGGACTTCCCTGAGCGATTTCTTCTTGAGCCTCCACTCTGTGCCAAGCATCATGGCAAGTACTTCACACAAGCTCATTCATTTCATCCTTCCAACAGCCCACGACGTGGGTATTATCATCGCTCCCATTTTACAGATGAGGAAACTGAGGCCCAGTGGGCTCCATAACTTGCCTATCGTCATGGAAACTAGGAACAATGGAACTAGGTCCAATAACACCAACCACCCCTTATGTTTGGGACCCAACTCTGCCAGGCGCTAAGTTCCTGATACATGGCATCTCACTAACTGCTCAGCAACCCTGATTAGAGTCTACACATCCCTGGTGTTCAGAGCAGTCAACAGAGACTCGGGAAGAGGATGCTTCCAGCCCCGCTTCCAGAACGTGTAGAGCCAAGGTCAAGACTGGACTCTCTCTGGCCCCAAAGTGTTCACATATGCCCATTTCACAGACAGAAAGAACAAGGCTTCGAGGGAAGAAGAGAGAGAATGTGGACTGCTCAGCCCCAAGTAGGAAACCAACAAGAAACACAGCCCCTGGAACTTCCAATGGTTAAGATCCCACACTTCCAATGCAGGGGGCCCGGGTCAATCCCTGGTCAGAGAACTTGGACAATATGCCGCCACTAAAGATCCTGCCTCCCACAACGAAGATTAAAGATCCCATGTGCCGCATCTAAGAACCGGTGCAGTCAAATAAATAAATATGTATAAAAAACAAACAAAAAACAGAGCCCCAGAGAAAGGATGCAGTCACTAGCCTCCTTCCCTTCTGTGTGGGCTCAGAAACAGCAGAGTTCAGAACCCCCTGCCTGCAGGAAGTTGGGCAAGTCAGAGCCCTTACCCCATGCCTCAGTTTCCCCATCTGCCCACGGGGGCTCTGACAGTGATCACACCACAGGGCAGCCACTGAGATGAAACCTGAGGGTCACCCACAGCTTTGGGCCTGGGAAAAGAGCAGTCACTGTGGATGGGTTTTACCCCTTGGTGTCCCCCACAAGTGGGCCCGCACCGTGGGTAAGCCTGCCTTAAAATCTCCCCCTGGCCCTCCTCCCCCGTCCCTGGTGACCTGGTTCCTCTCCCGGTACCAAACCCAGGCCCTCGGCACAAAGAAGGTCAGGCAGCGCCCCAGGAGGCCTGACCAGGTCGTGGCCCCTGGCCCGTGCCTGCCACACCCGCTCTGGTACCCAAAAGGGGCCCCAGATCCTCGGTGACTCGATCCCTCCAAATTCAGGTGATCTCCCCCAGCTCCAAATCACCGAACCCTCCCAGGTCCAGCGCCAGACGGAGCCAAACCCCAACCAGGAAGGGCCTCGGAGCGCCAGGCCACCAACGCCGTTGTCTCCAAGAGCCGGCTTTGGGGTGAAAGATGGTGCTGATCCGAAGCAGATGGCTCCTGCTCAGTGGTGAGCGAGAACAGCACCCCTAGAGCCTTAGCCCCCATGGTCTTAGGGAAGGGAGGGGAGCCTGGGGAGGGAAGGTATGAGCCAGAAACCCAGCAGGTGGGGGCGACAGCTCTGCTTCATGCAGGCACGATTTGCTCCTCCAAGAATCACCAGTGTGGGGGAGGCCAGGGACTGTCCCCCAAAGAGATTTTTGAGGTGACTTTGGAGATTTCTAAAACCGGGGTGTAAGGTAGGGTTAGGGAGCCACTGCTGTACCTCATTCATGTAGCAAACCCTTACTGAGCTACAGAAGCCTTAACTAGTGTGAGTTATAATCAACACCTCAGCCCCTCCCTCAGGATGTGGTTTAGGCAGTTGCTTTCCTCTTCTCAGCCTCAGTTTCCTCATCTATGAAATGGGTCTAACTCCTGGGGTCATTTGAAGGTCATCCCCAGCAGCATTTACTACCATCTACTGGGTGTTGTCCTATATGCTTTTTGTGTATTCATAACCACCCCACCCATGACCCCCACTCCATAGACCAGAAGCCTGAGGTTCAGAGAGGTGAAGTCGCTGGTCAGGGTCACACAGCCAGAAAGCAACAGGGCTGAGTGCTAGATCCAGAGCCCTTGCTCACAGCCAGGCTCCATCAGCATGGAAAGCACCAGAAACTAGGCCAGGCATGTAAGCACTTCTTATGTGAGAACTGCCACAGCTTCCTGATCCAGGCAGCCACACACAATTCCATCCCAGGCAGACCCGACCAGCTAGTCGGGTTTGGGGCTTATCTCCCGGGTTGAGAACACAAGGGGTGGAGTGGATTAATCACAGCCCTACTTTCTGCTGTGATTGAGCCTGGGGCGGCAAAGGAAGGGCACCCAACCGGGAGCCGGGGTTCCCGGGGGGCTGGATGAGGCAGCTTAATCTTGTAAGTGGAGGCCTGATGACTCTCATGGCCAGGGAAAACCCTCTGGGTCTCGTCCTGGGTCCCACAGGCTGAGTGGGTGCTGTGAGCTTGCTATAGCAAGGCCTATGCTAGATCCTTAGCACAGCCCATCAAATCCGGTCCTCAGATCACAGCCCCCACCCCCCCCCCAGGACTGAGACCCCCGTTAGCACCTGGCAGACAGTTATTGAGCACTTACTGTATGGAAGGAACACATGTGCCAGGAGCCCATGTCTCCTCCCCCATCAAATGTGGGGAGCGGTCAAGCCCGCCTCACCCCACCCTTCTGGTTCCTTTTCAGCTGCATTCCTGAGTGCGGGGGCTGAGATTATTATCACCCCCGAGCCTGCCCAGCCAGCCGAGGGCGACAACGTCACTCTGGCTGTCCAAGGGCTTTCGGGGGAACTGCTGGCCTACAACTGGTACGCGGGGCCCACGCTCAGCCTGTCTTACCTGGTAGCCAGCTACATCGTAAGCACAGGCGATGAGACCCCAGGCCCAGCCCACACGGGGCGGGAGGCTGTGCGCCCCGACGGTGGCCTGGACATCCAGGGTGCCCTGCCTGGGCACTCGGGCACCTACATCCTGCAGACTCTCAACAGGCAATTTCAGACGGAGGTGGGCTACGGACACATGCAGGTCTATGGTGAGACACCCCCCAGAGCCCCCTCTACCCTAGCTGGGCTTTCCCAGCTCCTTCCCAATCCTTCTTAAAAAAAAAAAAAAACTAAAAAATGTTAAACCCATCAGAAAAAAAAAAGAAAAAGTCCTAAAATAATATTAAAATGCTCACCTCCTCCCAGATGGCTTCCAGGATTAAACCTGCTTCTCATCCTGTTCTTTGCCCCTCTGGCTGGGGTTTCAGGGGTACTGCTGGTATCCAGCCATGCCCCCTGCCTGGGGAGGGGGAGACCCTGGGAGCAGGCAGTGCCCGGCCCCCTCCCCCTCTGTCTCTTGCCCCACAGAGATCCTGGCCCAGCCCGTGGTCATGGCCAACAGCACGGCCTTGGTGGAGCGCCGGGACACCCTACACCTGATGTGCATCAGCCCCAGCCCCGCTGAGGTCCGCTGGTTCTTCAACGGCGACACCTTGCCCATCGCCGTGCGCCTTGGCCTGTCCCCCGACGGCCGGGTGCTGACCCGGCATGGCGTCCGCAGGGAGGAGGCTGGCGCCTATCAGTGTGAGGTCTGGAACCCTGTCAGTGTCAGCCGCAGCGAGCCCGTCAACCTGACCGTGTACTGTGAGTCCTCCCGGCCCAGCCCCCAGCCTCATAGATGGGGAAACTGAGGCCAGGATAGGGTACCCGAGGGCACACAGTGAGTCAGTAGGCCAGCTGGGGTTAGAAACCAAAGAGTCCCCTCAAAATGCACTTGACCCATTTCCAAAGGACGAGAAGACCACGTTTGAAATTGAATCATCTTTCCCTTTGAATCAATACCTCCGGGACTGGTTGTTTTCGAAAGGGAGAGGGGACATGAATGGTGGAATGGGAGGGGAAATAAAATTAAAAACATAACCAAAGTATGGAGTCATCCCCAGGGGCAGCAGATACACCATGTGGCATTCAGAGAAAGCACTTCCCAGGTGGCTCAGTGGTAAAGAATGCACCTGCCAATGCAGGAGATGCAGGTTCGATCCCTGGGTCAGGAAGATCCCCCGGAGAAGGGAATGGCAACCCACTCCAGTATTCTTGCCTGGGAAATCCCGTGGACAGAGGAGCTTGGGGGGCTACAGTCCATGGGGTCACAAAAGAGTCCAACACGACTGAGCGACTAAACAGCAACAACAACCCAGAGAAAAGAATCACTCAGGTACATGAGGGATGGCAATGTAGAAAAACTTAGAACCTAGAATCCTACAACCAGGGAATTCTGCATTTGAGGAGCTCTGGATTCTAGACTCTGAGAACCCCAGAAACTCTAGAGGCAGAGATTCTTAGACTCTAATTCTAAAAACTTAGAGCTGCCCAACCCTAGAATCTTAGAAACATAGATTTCTAGACTCTTAGCCTCCTAGAACATAGAAACACCTGCTTTTGGAACCCTAGAATTCTAGATTCTTAGAATGGCTTATTGGAAACCAATCATTTAGATCTTTTTTTCCCTTAATGAACCCGTAGATGTCAAAAACATCTTGCAGTGTTGTCTGCTCCAATGTCATCTTTCTACAGAAAAGACAACTGAAATCCCCTGAGAGGGAAAGTGATTGTCAAGATCTTAGAGCAAGTTAGAGATCCGTGTGGGATTTGCAAAGGCCAGAGCACTTTTTTCCTGCAGGTTTTCCCAGGGGCGGGTGCCCACGTCGACGGCCCTCTCCCCCCACTGCCCTGTTTCTCTCCCTCCTGCCCTCACAGTTGGCCCAGAACGCGTGGCCATACTCCAGGACTCCACCGCCCGCACAGGCTGCACCATCAGAGTCGACTTCAACACCTCCCTCACGCTGTGGTGTGTGTCCCGGTCCTGCCCGGAGCCCGAGTACGTGTGGGCCTTCAACGGGCGGGCCTTAAGGAACGACCAAGACCACCTGAACATCAGTGGCATGACGGCCGCCCAGGAGGGCACGTACACGTGTATTGCTAAGAACCCCAAGACCCTGCTCTCTGGATCTGCCTCAGTGGTGGTCAAACTCTCTGGTGAGTCTCCCCCTGAGCCTGGCCACCGCCCCCTCCCCTTGGAGGCCCAGTTGGACCCCAGCTTTGGCTGCCCCGCCCACCATTCTGCTGCCGTTTGCCCAACAGATGATGGGAAAGGGAGAGATTCTCACCCCATTCATTGGCCAAGGGACCAAGTGGCATTTCAGGTGGACCCTCTTCATCCCCAGGTGACAAAAGGAAGGCAGTCTGTGCCTTATCACACACACCCACCCCCCGAAAAAAAATCAACATATCAGACTCTCTTCCTTGAGGGGTGGCAAAGCCAGAAACGGGCCACATGTCCCAAACCATGCGGCGGTAGAGTGGAAAAACATTCGCTGTCCCTTGACATGAATGCCCCTGTTTTAAATTCAGTCTGTCACAGCAGCTTCAGGCTGGAACCCCCTCCCTGCCCCAGAAACAGCTGAACCTCCCCGCAGCCAACTCAATTATTCAGTTATCTGGCGCGGATGCTGGTATGCGCGTGCGCACACCCGCGCACAGGCAAACGCACTCCCGGGGAAATTACAGCCATTCATTGGCAAGTGGAAAAACACAGCGAGAGAGGCACTGTCTTGACTCTGTCCTTAAACAACCTGGCGGTGGGGGTAGCACGGACACAGCTGGTGTTCTCAGAGCCATCAGGATCCTCAGGGGACATCTGCTCATCCCCTGGGGATGGTGGCTTTGAACCTGAGGGCCTCATTCATTCTGCCTTGGTTCCTTCCCAAGTGGCCACCATCCCCCGGGGACAGTGGGAGCAATCCTTCCCTCCCTCGTGCCTCCCTCCTACTAACAGGCTGGGTCTCATCCAAAGGGTGGAATCTCTTTCACCCAAAGCAGAAATGGCATCCCCAGAGGTAAGTGTTCCTCCTGCCCCACCCTACGGGGGGCCTTGGCAGCTGGTCTTGGTAAGAGACAGGGGGGCGGACCAGATGACCTGAGGCGCTGCCCAGAGCCCTGTCTGCAGGTCAAGAAGGGGGGTGTCCAAGGTGTGCAGGTATGTGCAGGGAGTGGGTACAGCGCCCCCCAAGGGCCTCCTGAGCTGTCGGCCACCCTGTGGCAAGTACCAAGGCGGGAGACAGAGGAAAGGGAGCCACCGCTCTGGCCCCACCTGGTCTGATGGAGGAGACATGGTCTCTGACCTTGGAGAGATGGTCTTGAAATAGGGAAGCACGGCCTCCCTATTCAAGAGCTGCCAGTCTGAGAGAAGAGGCAGTGCCTCACACGCCACCCGAGCAGTGATGAAGATGACATGACTTCTAATCAGATGGAGGAGACACAGGGGACACTTAAGGAGATTTTGTATTCTGATGGGGGAGACAGGGTCTTAAAGAGACATGGCTTTTTTTTTTTTTTTTTTTTGAGAATTCCTAGTCTGATGGGGGAAACACAGTTTCCACCTTTGAGGGTACTCCCAATCTGATGGGGGAGTACAGGCCCACCACTTTCTAGGAATTTCCAATGTGATGGGATAGACATGCCTCCCCCATTCAACTTCTGGGGTCCCCAGCTGACTGGAAAGACCCAGCCCAATAATAAATTGGAATTTCCAATCTGATGGAGGAGACATGGCCTCCCACCCTGTGGAATCTTTCCATCTTAATGGGGAACTATAGCTCCCCCTATTCTGAGGTCTTGCAAGCTCACAGAAAAGACAACGCCTGGAGTACATAGCTCCCAACAATCTAATGGGGGAGACACGGCCCCCATAATCTGAGAGCTTCCAATCTGATGGGGGTACGCAGCCCCTGGACTTTTAACAATTTCCAATCTGATGGAGGAGACATGACTCGGCCCCCTAGGGTCTTCCAGTTTAATGGGGAGAGATAGTCCCCCAAGGACTGGAAATTCCTAGTGTAAGGGGAGCGAGACGGCCCCCATGCACGGGGGTCTCCCAAACTGATGAGGGAAAACGCAGCTCCCTGGCGGGCAGGCATTGTTGAGACACAAAGTCCGCCTCCACTGCCACACAAGCCACCACCTCCTTCCTCTGTCTCCCTCCTGGCACCCCGGCACGGGGAGGGCCAGTCAGTTGGGGGAGGCATAGATGAGCAGGCTGGGGGTGGGCGGGGGGCGCTGTGACCCATGCAGGCCCAGCTGACCCAGCCGCCCTTGCTGTCTCCCCAGCGGCCTCGGTCGTCATGACCATCGTTCCGGTGCCCACCCGGCCGGTGGAGGGCCAGGACGTGACGCTGACCGTCCAGGGCTACCCCAAGGATCTGCTGGTCTACGCCTGGTACCGCGGGCCTGCCTCTGAGCCCAACCGGCTTCTCAGCCAGCTTCCTTCGGGTAACTGGATCGCAGGCCCCGCGCACACAGGCCGGGAGGTGGGCTTCCCCAACTGCTCACTGCTGGTGCAGAAGCTGAACCTCACGGATGCCGGCCGCTACACACTCAAGACCGTCACGCTGCAGGGCAAGACGGAGACGCTGGAAGTGGAGCTGCAGGTGGCCCGTGAGTGCGCAGGAGGGGACGGGGAGGGGCGGCTCTTTTCAGACAAGGGCTCCCAAAAGTGGGGAGGGGGCACTCTGCCTCCTCCAGCTGACTTGGACCTCCCCAGATGGAGCTCCTGCCTCGTCTGTCAAAACCAATAGACCCAGGGCAGACTGGCTTCCTCCATCACACTGGGGGCACTCAATGGGACTTCCATGCCTTCTCTCTTCTGTAAGAAGCACACCAGACCAAAGGTTTCAAAATACAGGGTGTAGACTGAGGATAAGGTACCCTTTCTCCTGGGACATAAAATACAGGAGACACTGCCGCTACCCTCATGCTGCACCTCTCCCATCCGATGAGCGGTATAGAGTGAGGGTGGATCCATGCCTCCCTCTTCAGACTGTCATCTTACACAATGCAGATGGTGTTTCAGGCTTTGTGTTACAATAAGAGAACAGAATTTCTACCCTCAGAGGGTACATTTCTTTTTCAAGCTGAAATAAGGACGATCTTCTCCATCGGGATGGAGACCCCTAGGTAGCGGGAATTGTTTCCTCTGCAGACCGGAAATTCCAAGTGGTCAGGAATAATGTCTCTTCCATCAGACTGGGAATTTCCAGATGTTGGGGACCATAACTCCCAATCAGACTGGGAGCTCCCAGAAGTCAGGAATAATATCTCCTCCATCAGACTGGGAGCTTCCAGATGTTGGGGACCGTGTCTCCCCATCAGACTTGGAGCTCCCAGAGACAGAGATCATGTCTCCTCCATCAGACTGGGAGCTCCCAGAGACAGAGATCATGTCTCCTCCATCAGACTGGGAGCTCCCAGAGACAGAGATCATGTCTCCTCCATCAGACTGGGAGCTCCCAGAGACAGAGATCATGTCTCCTCCATCAGACTGGGAGCTTCCAGAGGAAGGACTTTGTCTCCTCCATCAGACTGGCAGCTCCCAGAGACAGAGATCATGTCTCCTCCATCAGACTGGGAGCTCCCAGAGACAGAGATCATGTCTCCTCCATCAGACTGGGAGCTCCCAGAGACAGAGATCATGTCTCCTCCATCAGACTGGGAGCCCCCAGAGGAAGGACCATGTCTCCTCCATCAGACTGGGAGCTCCCAGAGACAGAGATCATGTCTCCTCCATCAGACTGGGAGCTCCCAGAGGAAGGACTTTGTCTCCTCCATCAGACTGGGAGCTCCCAGGGGTAGGGACCATGTCTCCTCCATCAGACTGGGAGCTCCTAGAGGCAGGGACCATGTCTCTCCCATCAGACCGAGCATCCTCAGAGGTCTGAGAGGCCATGTCCCTGGAGTCTTGCCTCCCACATCAGACCTGCAGTCTCAGAAGACATGTCCCTGAGTCAAGGACTCTGACCCCCCTCCCTCAGACTTGAAGTGCCCAGGATCAAGGACCCAATCACTTCCAGACACCCCTAGCACCCTCCTTCAACCATTCACTCATCAAAACCTAGTTTTCTGGGTCAGTGTTGGGGGGGGAATGCTGGTCCATGACAGCAGGTCACTCCCTGATGAAGCTTCGGAACTCCTTTTCACCCTGTCTCTCTTCTCACAGTCAACCTTCCTTCCTCGCACAAGGACCAACGCCACACCTTCCTGAATCTGAACCTGGCGCAGGCTGAGCATGGGGCGGGTGGGGCCGCCGGGAGGCCAGGGTCGGGCAGGGGCGCAGGAGGAATGGGGGCACCGGGGACCTGGTCCCCCGCCTCCGCTGATGGCTTCCTCCACCCCTGTGCCCCGTCCCTCCCCCACAGTCCTGGAGTAGCACTGTGGACCTGGAGACCTCCAGAGAGACGAGCTCTTCACGTCACTCTCCTTGTCTCCTCCCCTGGAGCAGAGGACCACTCGCTTCCAGCAAGGATGCCGGACCATGGTCCTCTGGTCTCCTGCTTTCACCCTAGAGTTAGAGCCAACATGGCCCTACTCCTTCACCGAGATGTCGGAGAGCCACAGAGGCTATAAACATCCTGGTTAACAACGCCTGTGTCAGCCTCTTCTTCCACCGCTGCCAACCTTGTCATTCCTGGTGGCCACACTTGCTTCCCTTCCCACCCAAGATGATCTTGGTCTGGCTACATGCATGCACAAGGATGCCCAAAACGCAGGGCTCCAAGCCCCCACTGCTTCATGTCACAGCCTCAGGCCCTTCCCACAACACCCCAGGTTATTTCTGAGGGTCCTGCTTTCCAGTGGCTGAAAGAGTGCCTCTCCTGTGACACCAAACAGCTGTGGGACATGCCACCCCCCCACACACACTGTACCTCCCTCCATAACCTGGAGCCTGACGCAAAGCTATTTGTACACAGGACAAGGAATGACCAAATTTCTCAAGAAGAGTTCCAGCACCTTCTGGCCTACATTGATTTAATCAAAGATGCCCTTTTTCGCCCTCCACTGTCCTGGGATTCCCCCACCCCCACTCCATGTATCTCTCAAGCATCACCTGCAGAATCCTAAAAATATCTCCCTCCTCCTCTACACACACCAGAAAAGCCCCTATGAATAAATGAATGCAAACGGGGCAGGGGTGGGGTTGAGGGGTAGAGAGCAGGGGAGAGTGGGAACCAGAGGGTGAGTGTCTTCTGACCCCTCTCACTAGGGTCTGAGCCACAAGCCCCACCCAGCTAAGATGACCCACTATAGCGAGACCTGGTATTAAACAGAAGTGTGACAGCAAACTCCAGGCTCAGGGTAGAAAGAGAAGTTTGGGCAGGGATGGAAAAACTCAGTAAAGCGATTTCTCAGAAACTTTTAAGACAGAGCCTTTCTGGGGATGGCCATGTTGAACTGAGATGGTGAGTGGTGAAAGGCACCCAGAATGAGGGTTCTAAAATCTGGGCTAGAGTCCTTCATTTGCTATGGATTCACTAGACCGGTAAAAAGGTGTGGACTTAACAATACTGGAGTGGATTGCCATTTTCTTCTCCAGGAGAATCTTCCCACCCAGGGATCAAACTCAGGTCTCCTGCATTACAGGCAGATTCTTTACCATCTGAGCCACCAGGGAAGACCTAGGATAGACTAGAGTTTTCCAAACATTTAATTAGCCTCAGAGCCCTTTCTTCAAATGCAAGCTTACATGGTATATCAATATGTTATTTTTTAAACATTTTTAATATATTAATTTAAATCACAATGCAATAAAAGCAGATATCAATTCAAAAGCTATAGCCCTCTTCTCCCACCACCACCAACTTTCTACACACTGTTGAAAAAAAAAATTCTTACATTTAAGTAATACTTGGATTACAGAGGCAATTAAAATGCAAAACAGCAACCAAAATCAAATGACAGTGAAAATATTATGTATAGAAACTGTGGGATATGATCAAAGCCACACTTGGGGCAGGATGATAGCCTTAAAATGCTTAAATATATTGAGAGTACCAAAAAGAAAAGATTTTGAAATTGAGCAAAATAAGGTTACCAACTCAAGAAACTAGAAAAAGCCCATGAAATAAACCAAAGAAAAAATGTAAGAAATTAAGAAAAGTAAAAGCAGAAATGGATGAAATATAAAATCAAACAGAGCTAGTCAATAAAACCTAAAGCTGGTTCTTTGAAAATACCAGAGAAATGGACAAACTTTTTGCAAGTATGATAAGAGACAGAGAAGAAGACTATTATATAAAAGAGAAACTGTTCTGACTGATGTAGAGGAGGTTAAATGCTCAATAAATATATATAATGAGGGAAGAGTTTGTGGATACTTCCCCAGCAGCCAGTTCTCTTTGCTCTTTTATGACGGAGGCACTGCCTCCCATAAAGGAAGCTGAAAATGCCAGATACTCACTTTCCCAGACTGCCTTGCAGTTTCATGTGGTCATGTGACCGATTCTGGCCAATCAGGAAGGAGAGAACTAAAAGTTCTGTCCAGTGACTCTCCCTACCTAAGTGGGCACTGAGGGAATTCCATGGAGTTGAAAGCTACTGGCTAAATCAATGTTCTCCAATATGAGGTTTCCAGGCAATGGCACAGCTAGGAAGTGAGGATGGATTTTAGCCTATACTCTTAACCCAAACAACACTATCCAGACCCAAAATGGGCAATAGCGTCCGTATTCACCCCACACCTCCAAGTTCACATAAGAGTCAGTGACATATATATCAGTGAGAATTTTTCTTCAGTGGCTAGTAAGAGAGACTGGACATAACACAAACAAAGACAACACTAGAATACAAGATAAAAGAGAAACTGACACGTGTAGGAGTGGCTTACATAGATAGATTATTTCTCTCACACATAAAAGGTGACCATAAGCAGAGCTGGGATGATGGCTCCACAGCGTCATTAGAAACACAGCTCTTTCTGTCTTTCTGCTCCATCATTTTTAGCTTGGGGGCTTTCATTCTCTTGATCACCTCATGGCCCAAGATGGCTGCTGGAGTCACAGCTGCCTCATCCACATTCCAGGCAGGAAGCAGAAAGAAGGGAACAAAAAGTAAAAGCAGCTCCATGCCTGATTATGGACTGTGTCCCCCCACCTGCCCATTTTTTTCGTTTTTGGCCACACTGCGTGGCATGGGAAACTTTCCTGACCAGGGATCAAATCCATGCCTTCTGCAGCAGAAGCACAGAATCTTAACCACTGGACCACCACGGAAGTCCTAAACGGTTCCCTTTTTAAGGAACCTTCCCCAAAGTCCCATCCTACAATTTCCACTTACATCTGATTGACCAGCTCTTAGTCATGTGGCCATCCTAGCCACAAAGGAGGCTGGGACATGTAGTCTTTCCCCTGGGTATGTCACTGCTCCAAAGAACTCAGGACCTTCAGAACTTCACTGCTGTCAAAGACGGGAAAGAATGGATCCCAGGTGGGCAGCTGTCAGGCTCTGCCATGACAGACCTTGGAACTCCTACTTTCCAAGCTGGACGAAATGGCCTTTCTCACCTAAGCCCAAAGGGAAGGAGCCCCAGATATAGTAGCCAGGATTTGGGGAAGACTGGGGTGGTGCTTTCCAGGGCTTGCTTTGTGCAGTGGAGAATGAGGCCAGCAGGAGGGGTGAAGGAGGGGAGGGGGTGGCAGCTCAGTTTTCTAGGTCAAGTTGGATCCCATATCCTCAGGGTGTGGAGGCTCAGATGTCCCCAGGACTAAGTCTTCTGTCCCCCTAGGCTTATCCGGGCTTCTGGACCAGGCAGTCCAATCCCCCTCTTTAACAGTCCAGGAAAGAAAAATAGCAACAAAGCTTCTCAGATGGCTCGATGGTAAAGAATTCGCCTGCCAATAAAGGAAACCACAGGAGACGTGGGTTCTATCCCTGGGCCGGGAAGATCCCCTGGAGGAGGGCATGGCTACCCACTCCAGTATTCTTGCCTGGAGAATTCCACAGACAGAGGAGCCTGGTGTGCTACAGTCCATGGGGGTCACAAAGAGTCAGAAACACCTTGGCAAGTAAACTATGCTGACCCTGTATGGTCCCGTGGTTAACTCTGCCCTCCCACGGCAGGGGCCCTGGGAGCGGGGAACAATAATAATAGCTCCTAGTATCTCAAACATTGATTTTGTCCTTTTGTGTCTCTGTCTCCATGAATTCCTACAAGAACCCTGAGTAATTACTGGCAGTTCCTCCACTTTACAGATGAGGAAATTGAGACCCGGAGAGCCAAAAACCTCACTCCAGGTCCCATAGTTTCCATGGCTCCTGGAAGGAAGCTAGCTGAGTCTCCGCCACTCCTCGGCAGGGCCGGCCAGGCCAGGGCACAGGCTTGGAGCCCAGATAGAACTGAGAGCAGCCACTTAATCTGAAGGACTCCAGGCAAAGTCACTTTTCTCACTTACAAAACAGAGATAATAAGAGTCTCCACCTCTGAGGACTGTTGAAAAGATTAAATGAGTCAATATAAGGAAAGAATTTAGTTACCTAAGTGCTCGATGAATGCTTTTTAACTCACTCAGGTGGTAGTTTGAGCAACATGCAGATGGAAAAGCAAAAATAACCATTTTTCTGTCATGTCGTCTTCCTGGGGCCTTAATTAAGCCTATGTCACAAGTTCCCCCGTGACAAACCTAGTCAGTGTATTAAAAAACAGAGACATCACTTTGCCAACAAAGGTCCATATAGTCAAAGCTATGGTTTTTCCAGTAGTCATGTACAAATGTGAGAGATGGATCATAAAGAAGTTGGATCATGAGTGACAAAGAATTACTGCTTTCGAATTGTGGTGCTGGAGACTTCTGAGAGTCCCTTGGACAGTAAGGAGATCCAACCTGTCCATCCTAAAGGAAATCAACCCTGAATATTTATTGAAAGGCTGAAGCTGAAGCTCCAATACTTTGGCCACCTGATTGGAATACAGTGGCCACCTCTTTGGAAAAGACCCAGATGCTGAGAAAGATTGAAGGAGAAAGGAGAAGGGGGCGACAGAGGATGAGATGAGATGGTTAGATAGCATCACCGACTCAGTGGACATGAATCCACTCAATGGATATGAATCTGAGCAAACTCCGGGAGACAGCGGAGGCCAGGGGAGCTTAGCGTGCCACAGTCCACAGGCTTACAAAAAGTCGGACACAGCTTAGTGGCCGCACATCAACAACACAGGTTCCCCTCATTTTATGGAATACAGGATGTTCTTGAAAAACTGTAATCATCTGAAAATAGTTTATGAGAAAAATAACACATGTGTACAATTAGAATCCCGCTGCCAAAAGGTTTGTTGTTGTTTTTTTTTAATTTAAAAATAAAAAATAATGAGGAATCCCCTGACAGTCCAGTGGTTAGGACTGGGCACGTTCATTGCTGGGGGCCCCAGCGTTCCATCCCTGGTTGGGGAACTGAGACCCCACAAGCCATGTGGTGTGGCCAACAACAACAAAAAAGAACAAAAAACAAAAAGAAATCTAAAAATATCAAACTAATCCCAACGCTGCTCATCACAGGTGCCGGGCGACTGTGCCCTCAACACAGATCCTCTGGCTTGCGCCTCACTGCCTTCCTTTGAAATGGAGCTCTATTTCTCCACTCTCCCAG